TTCGAATCTCGGAAGGGTATGTCTGACTGATGATAACCAAATAAGGTTAGAAATAGCTATCTCAGTACTCCCTTAATTCTTTGTTAGCATTCCAAATTTTGAAAAACATATATGATGTCGCAGTTAAGCGACTGCTGCCTGTGGATGGCTTTGGATTGAGCTGATGCAGGCAAAAGACTTCTCTCTCTCCCATATTTAGACTGACAGGGTGTTCAAAAAAAAAAAAAAAAGCACTCATATATATATATATATATATATATATATATATATGTTTTCTGAGGTTTTCACGGGTGTTTATATGTGAGTCTTTGGTCATTCGGGTTTTCTCCCGTGTAAGATTAGAAGTGTCATAGCGACGTTTCGATGAAATCACATTCATCATCATCAGGCTTGTGCTTTTAGCTTTGTGCTTCTCAGAGTAATCTATATAATTATCCTGAATGAGTATAATTTCTTAATTATTCCTTTAATAATCCAGTAATAAAAAGTGTACACTTCCTTACCTCATGGTATTACACATATTACTTTAATATGCGAAGAGCACGTGATCTATTTTGTAGATATTGTTTCAATGTCTAATCTCTTTCACTTCTTACAAATTTTCCATTATATTTTAATTGGGAGTATATATGTTAACATTATTTAAAATCCTTGATTATATTCTCAATAGATAAGAAAAATGTAGCTTACTTAATAATATTTTTCTATAGGTATAACTGAAATCTAAAACAATTTAAAATAAAATTAAATAGACAAATTATACTATGACATAATAAATATACCTACATTTGTAACTAAAGCCTCCTCCATCTTTGCACTGCTTGTTGCCACTGTACTCGAATGAGAAGACGGTGTTGTATAATCTGTTACAGACTCCTGTAAAAAAAAGTTCAACCAGTTTATCTAAATCATATATGTAACTTCCCTCAAAAATATGATTTGAACTTTGAGCAGAAAAGAAACATTTGTCATTTTCAACTTCACAAATTGAATTTCTCTATTAGAATAACTTAAAATTGTTCTTATCACGTTAACTGTTAACTTTACATATTCAGTATTTTTTAAAAAATAAACCTTTGTTGGTTACCAGAGTAAATATAAAAAGCTATGGCCTGTCAATAATAAAAGAAATCTGAAACATGATTTTAAGTTTCGTATAACCACTGAGCAAGAAACATAACATTCCCACTCATTTAAAATATAGAAAACACTAGCAACACATTTGATATCCAAATATCCTATGTCAGCAGTCCAGAACCCCAGGCCATGGACCAGTACAGGTCCATGGCCTGTTAGGAACTGGACCACACAGCTGCAGGTGAGCGGCGGGCAAGTGAGCAAAGCTTCATCTGTATTTGCAGCCACTCCCCAGTGCAAGCATCACCGCCTCAGCTCCACCTCAGATCATCAGGCATTAGATTCTCAAAGGAGCGTGAACCCTACCATAAACTGTGCCTGAGAGGGATCTAGGTTGTGCACTCCTCCTCCCCCACTCTGGTCCATGGAAAAATGGTCTCTCACGAAACCAGTCCCGGATGCCAAAAAGGTTGGGGACTGCTGCCCTATGTCATGTCAGGAAAGCTGTAGATTGAAAGACTCTTCCCATACATACATTATTTGCATTATTTAACAAAAGAAAAAATAATTCTCAAATACTGTATGTTAATCCCAAAACATGAGTCTAGATGAATTGTCTCATACTGGACTCTATGTGTTTGTTATAACTCTAATAATAATCTGCATATGTTATTAACTACTAATATAAAAAATGATTAAGAGCCTTTTGAAAAAATGGACATCCAATTAACCGAAAGGATAAGCATCTATAGCAGGGGTGTCAAACTGCCGGCCTGCAGGCCGGACGCGTCATGCGCACCCACCCCATTGCCGGCAATGGCAAAACTCTCCAGATACGTTGCACGATGTCACGTGACGTCGCGAATTTGAAATGTCTGATCTATAGTATTAGGCTCTAGCAATTCTACAATTTCACTGAATCACAATCCTCGCATCATTCTCCAATATCACATTCTTCTACATAAGATATTTCTACTATAGAAATAGTAGAACAGTAGAAAATAAGAGTAATAAACCTTACTACAGCAAGTCCTCAATTTATGACCACAAAAGTTTGAAGTTTTGACAGAACCCCTAAAAGCTACTTACAACCTGGTTTCAAAGTTCTGACATCGCCCCCCCCCCAATCATATGACCATAGTTTGGGCATTTAGCAACCATTTTGCATTTATGGCCATTTGAAACCAGCTGTGGTCATGTGAACAGGATTTACGAGGGCAATTCGGAAATAAATCTCCGTTTGAGCATGTGCAAGAAATAGGCAGGGATAGCGACGCCTGTCCTATGGCGCCATGCACAGTAATTCAGTAGGCAGTGAGGAATGGAAGGAGGTTGTGTTGCAGTTGATTCGTCCGCTAATCAATTGAAAATGAACCCTGCTATAGAAAATTCCACCAAATGTGAAGTGCATGCAGTAATACGATTCCTGTGTGTGAAAAAACTTTTGGCAGGTGTGATTCATTGCAAACTGTGTAATGTTTATGGACCAAGCGTGATGAGTGAAGATGTTGTACGTTAATGGTGTTGCATGTTAAAGATGGATGAACTGACGTGCACAATGAGGATAGAAGTGGCCGCCCATCTGTAGTCAGCGATGAACTCGTGCAGGAAATTGACAAAAAGGTCCATTAAGTCCGTCAGTTCACGATATCTGCACTTTCTTTACACTTTCCCCAAATTTCTTGGACTGTTTTGTACGAGGTAGTGACAGAAAATTTGGGATATTGCAAGTTCTGTGCTCTTTGGGTACCAAAACTCCTTTCTGAGGAGCACAAAACACACCAAATGGGTTTTGCTTTGGACTTTCTCACATGTTTTGCCGAGGAAAGAGAGCAATTTCTTAACAGAATTGTGACCGGCGATGAGACCTAGGTGTCATACGTGAACCCCGAAAGCAAACAGCAATCGATGATGTGGTGTCATACGCACTCACCAAAGAAACCCAAAAAACCTTGGCATACATCATCTGACAGAAAGGTTATGGCAACAGTATTCTGGGATGCCAAAGGAGTAATGCTAGTGAGGTTCATGGAGCGTGGTTCGACCAATAATTCAGAAGTCTACTGTGAAACGTTATGAAAATTCTGACGAGCCATCTATAACAAGCGTTGGGGCATCCTGACTTCTGGTGTGGTGTTAGTTCACAATAATGCTTGCCTGAATACTGCTAGACCAGTGGTTCTCAACCTGTGGGTCGGGACCCCATTTGGGGTCGATCGACCATTTCATGGGGGTCGCCAAGCAAGGCTGTCCGCCATTTTTTTTGTCCGCCATTTTTTCCCCTTTTCCAGCGGGTGCCTTACCTCCCTTGGGCTGGGCCAGCTGGTGGTCGGCCTGCTCCGTCTCTGCCGCTTGCCAGCTACACCTCGGCCGGCGCAGGGGGCGGAACCACGCATGTGCGGCGCTCCCGGGCAGGGAAAGTCCTCGACTTATGACCGGTTGGGTAGTCCTCAACTTATGACCGGTTTAGTCCTCGACTTACGATCGGTTTAATCCTCGACTAACGACCGGTTGGGGGTCACGGCATTAAAAAGGTTGAGAACCACTGTGCTAGACACACCCAAGAACTTTTGAAGCAGTTCCGTTGGGATGTTTTTGACCCCCCCCAATAGCCCAGATTTGACGCCGAGTGACTTCAGGCACATGAAATAGTGCCTGTCGCATCGCTTCAATGATGACAATGTGCTTCACAATACTGCTACAGGGTGGCTTCATTCTCAGGCGGGAGATTTTTTTGCAGAAGGAATTTCAAAGCTTGTAAGACGTTACGACAAGTGCCCCAATTTGAATGGCGATTATGTCAAAAAGTAATGTAATGTAGTTTTCTAATGTGTATAATAAAAGTTCTGTATCTGCGAGTATCTGTCATTGATAACCAAATGGAGGTTTATTTCTGAATTGCCCTCGTTCAACGATTTTGTCAGAAACTGATGTTTAATTCTGATTTCTGATAAAAACTAATCCAAAGAGAACCATAAGTTCACTTAACAACTGCTGCAGAAGTTTAACAACCATAAAAAAAACCCTGCTTTATGACTGTCACAACTTATGACTGTAATTGCCAGGCTCAATTATGGTAGTAACTTAAGAATTACTTATACTATTTTTTGAAATGAGGAGAAGTCAACTAACATCAAGACTGTCCTCACAGCAAACTGTTACACATCTTTTATGCTCTCACTTCAGAAAGCACCATAAAGGAATGTATCTATTAAAAATTGGGCAGGAAGAAATAAGCACTGCTATTTTCTTACTTTCTGAGTTGTCCCAAATTCTGCAGCCGACACTGATATCATTGTTCCTATTTCTGTACTAAGTTCATTAGTTGATTTGTTTTCTTTAGAAGTAATAGGATCTGAACTTCTGACTGTATTAGCACTGGACTTTTCTTGCATCTCAGAATCACCCTGTTGAGCCTCCTTTACTTTTTTGTTTTTTAGTGATCGCTCTTTCCCAATTGGGCCAGGCTTGTATTCTTTGCTTTCTACCGGATTCATATCTGGAAGCTAAAAAGAATTAACAATATTTAATGTAAATATATGTATTTGCTAAATCCCCAAAGAAGTAATCAATCCAGTAACCAATGAGTTTTTATGGCTCATCAAATTTTGTATTTGTATAATACCTAGCTACCTTGATTGATTCCAAAACATTAAACAGGATTGGATTCAATATCTGGCATATCAGAAAACATGAAGGCTTCAGACTATATTGAGAAGGGCAGAAAAAATCCTGAAAATAATTACACAGTCATCAGGAGTTGAACATCATTCAAGGGAGAAATTATCTTTTACCTATATTCTATCGGGGACAGTGGGGAGGAGATCATATGTAGAAAAATTCATTGGATTTTTGGTTTTAGTGTGCCTCTCTAATTGATAAGAATTGGAAAATTTCACTCACCTTTTGTGTTTTTATAGGTCCTGCACGTGGCTGTTTTTGCCTTTGTTCTTTTGGTTCAAGAAGCTTCTCTGAGGCCTTATCTGAAACCGGCCCAACTTCACTATCACTCCCACTAGAGGCAGGAGCTCCAAACTGAATAGTTTCTATTCCCAAATCCATTCCACTTTCCTGTCCAGCAGGTGTTCCCTAGCAAAGGCACCAACATTTATATTTATAACTCAAGCAGACTTTTGTGCTGTATTGCAGCATTTAAATATTTGGGAAACCATATTCATTAATTTTTAAGCAAGTTAAATCATGGGGGGAAATCAATAAAAATATCCTGGTTGGGAAAAATAACCACAATCAAAATACCTATTTTACTACTTTAATATTTCAAACCCACTGTATCATTCTGAATAATTATGCAGGAATGGTAGAATTACTGAACAACTCTATCATGACACAGGTTAGGACTAAACCTGTTTATAGCAATTCAGAGAAGGAAGAAATAAGAATTCCAAATTTACAAATGGTATTACAGTGTAATACTATTGAGTATATGTTTGTTAATATAACCTTGAACAGTTTTCAAATTGGCTTAAATTTGAAATTAAGGTTTAAAAACAGATCAAGTTAGAGCATTTTAATTTTCTAGTTGTTCATTCAAAAGTTAGGTAAAATACTTTTGGAAAAAAAATAGGTAAAACCAGTAATAAGACAGTGTTTACTCTCTTGAATGCAATTATATCATATTTTTACAGCAATGTCATCTGTCCAAAGCAAGGATGTAAACAGAAGGTTTGAAGCACTTCTTCTTAAAAAAAAAAGCATTAAATGGGGGATAGAGTCTTTAATACAGGTAGTCCTTAATTTACAACTGTTCATTTAATGACTACTCTAAGTTACAACAGTACTAAAAAAAAGTGACTTATGACCAGTTCTTACACTTATGATTGTTGCAGCATGCCCACAATCACACGAACAAACTTTGGGTGCTTGGCAACCGGCATGTATTTACAATGGTTGCAGCTCCCTGGGATTGTCATTTGCAACCATTCTAGGGAGCTTCTGACAAGCAAAGTCAATGGGAGAAGCCAGATTTGTTTAATGACTGCATGATTCAATTAACAACTGTATGATTCACTTAACAACCATAGCAAAAAGGTCATAGGGCTCAACTGTGGTCATAAGTCGAGGACTACCTGCACTTAATCAAATTATGCTTAAAGAATCTATGGGCATTCTAGATGATTTAAAAATAGGTTAGAAAATAGATCTATAAATTTAATAAATAAAAATAAATAAATTTAAATACTGGATTCACTTAATATCTTAATATCTGCAACAGGGAGAGCTGGGATGACAGTCGTTCAGCAAGGCAGTCATGTAGGCTCCTTACCTCACAATAACTTACAAGCGTAATTTTGGGCTCAACTGTGGTTATAAGGACTACCTGTTGTGGAAGATGCTACCAATTTATATAATCCTAACACATACAATAAATTATTGCTGGATATTTTATCAATTTAAAAAGAAACACTGAGCATAATATTAGTTGACACTATCAATTACAGGTACCGTATATACTCGAGTATAAGTCGACCCGAGTATAAGCCGAGGGACCGATTTTCCCACAGAGAACTGGGAAAAATTGGTGACCCGCGCATAAGCCGAGGGGGCATTTTGGCTGTTCCTCCCTGGCCGCCTCGGCCCCCCCGGCCCTGTCAGTGAGCGCCCGACAGGGCGCAGCGTCGCCAGGCCTCCCCCCTTCGCGCGAGGCTTCTGGCATTCCCCCTCGCGCTTGGCTACGGCTCGCCGCTTGCTCCCCCTCCCCTGGCGCTGCGCTGCGCCTGCTTGCCTGGCGGCGGCGTCCNCGCCGCCGCCGCGCCCCCGCCGCCCCCCCCGCCGCCGCCGCTGCTGACTCGAGTATAAGCCGAGGAGGGCATTTTTCAGCCCCAAAAATGGGCTGAAAAACTCGGCTTATACTCGAGTATATACGGTAATATTCTACTTACAACTAGTATTGAGCCCAAAATCTCTGTTGCTAAGCAAGTCAGTGAATTTTGTCCCATTGTACAACCTTTCTTTCAACAGTTAAGTGAATCCCTGCAGTTAAGTTACTAACGGTTGTTAAATGAATCTGACTTCTGACAAGCATTGACTTTGCTTGTCAGAAGGTAGCAAAAGGTGATCACATGACTTTGGGATACTGCAACCATCATAAATATATGCCAGCTGCCAAGCATCCAAATTCTGAAGTTCTCTGCTGAGAATGAGATGTCATTTCCCTCTTGCTTTTTTTTCCCTAGGATGCTTTTGTTCTTCATAATTAATGAAAAAAGCAAGAGGGAAATTACATCTCATTTTCAGCAGAGATTGCAGATTCTTTGTCAGGGAGAAAGCTTTTACCCTTTCAGTGTATCAATTCCTTTGATTTGAATGCAAGATCCTTTGCTCAAGATTGTTTTTAAAGACCTTGGGGGAGGGTTCACACACTTCCAGCTATTTTTCAGCAAGGGGGAGTTACAGAACTATGTTCACTAGTCACTTTTAAAGGAGGTAAAACACTGCCTTCTGTTTTCTACTTTGTGTATCTATCCCTTTCTTTATGGCTATATCTGCCTGGATCTGTCTGTGCCTATCTCTCTCCAAATGATTTGCTGTATCTAAGAGAGAGAGAAAAAGCAAAACTGTAGGTGTCCAATTTGTTGTAACTGGAGATATCTCCATTATAGCAAATTTGTAACAAACCATTCCATTACAAAGTGGCTCCAACACAATGCTTTTTTAAACTGAAACATGCCCAACAATGCAGCTTCTAATATATGGCTTTTTTCTATTTAAATATCTATGCATGGCAAGTTTTAAATAAAAATTCATGGTATCCATTATTATACCTCTGGTGAAGTAGCTGATCCAAATGATGTCAAAGGCTTATTCCATGCACTGACAGAAGGTGGCTGTGGAGGACTAATAGGCCCCACTAAAAGTTCAAAAAATAAAGTGAATCAGACTTTTTGAAAGGAAAGTTCTGGAAAGTGGTTTAAAGATACTTCCCATAAAGTTAAGCTCAGGACATTTGGAAAACAACAATTTTCTTATTACAATGTATAACTAAAGAAGAAAAATTTCTGGAATTGATCCAGAAAAAAGTGGAGGAACATAGCATGTGAAAGTTCTAAAGCAGTTCCTATTATATTTTGGGCAATATTCACATATTCAAAGTTCAAGTAGTGGGTGGGAAACTTACAATCTTTGGAAGAATCAGAGAAAAAAAGGAACAGACAATGATACAGATGTTAAGAGTGTGTGGCTGAACTCTGTAGCTTTAAGATCTAATTTTTACATATAGCAATATCATATGAAGGGCTGAACATTTCATGTCAAGAGAAACTGAAAAGTCCAGAGAGAGAATTTAATTCAACATTTTAAAGTATACATTTTTCTTTTCTTGCATATGTAACTAGATATAAAAAAGGTCTCTGCTTACATTTTTTAGAGATGTCATTGAGGACGGTGGTAGGGGGTACTTTATTATCCCAAAATTCAGTTCCTACAGCATTATGGGCAGGTGAATTCTGCAGAGTTTTGCTTGTTCCTGCATAGTCTGTAGAGATGTTCACTGCACAAGTTGCTGATGTCTGTGGCTGAACTGAAGTTTGTGGACTTGGAATTTGAGACACACATTGCAATGGGACTTGTGGTTGAGCCTGACTTTGTTGAGCAGCCGCAGCAGCCGCTGCAGTTGCCTGTTGTTGCTTTTTGGCAAACCTGGGCGGTAGCTTAGAATTTGCACATCTTCCTTTTTCATTTGAATTCTTTTTGGTCCAGACCTGAGAAAGAAAATATTGTTGAGATGATTCACTAGGGAAAGATGAAACTGAAATGCTTAAATGGCAAAACACTGTACTTTTTCCAAATATCCAATTAACTCAAGGAATATATGTTTGCTGCTGGTTAAAAAAATAATTAGATGAATTTATACAGCATAAGCAGACTGATTAGATATTCCTTCCTACAATTATAAGATATATTTCCATGACCATTTTATCAACTACCAATCAGATAATGATAAATAACCTGGACTGAGGAACTGCATGCAAATAAATAAATAAACATAGTCAAAATAGAGTCTTGGACTTTAAGAAAGCTAATTTCAATAAACTTAGAGAGAGCTTGGGAACGATTCCATGGATGAGAATCCTCAAGGGGAAAACAACTCAAGAAACTTGGGAAATTTTGAAAAGTGAGATTATAAAAGCTCAGTCTAGCACAATATCAATGAAGAAGAAAAATAACAGCTCTCAAAAGAAACCAGCATGGTTGCATAAAGAACTCTCTCCAAAAATATCAGAAAATATGTGACAGAGGTTAAATGAGAAGATATCAATGATGGAGATCATAGAGGCAATTAAAAGACAAAAGAAAGATAAGACACCGAGGCCGGACGGACTACCTGCAGAATTTTATGTAGCTTTACAAGATACTGTGACTCCTTTTCTGAAGGACTTGTGTAATGAAATTTTTATACAGACAAAAATTCCAAACTCATGGACTGAAGCTAATATTACCTTGATACCTAAAGAAGATACAGATCTTACACAAATTAAAAACTACAGGCCAATATCGTTACTAAATGTGGATTATAAAATCTTTGCTGCAATTTTGACAGAAAGAATAAAAAGCTTTTTAATAGAATTTATTCACCCAGACCAAAATGGCTTTCTTCCTAAAAGACAGATAAAGAACAACTTAAGGATTATTTTAAATGTTTTGGAGTATTATGAAAATCATCCAGGGAACCAGATGGCGCTCATATTTCTTGACACACAAAAAGAATTTGATAATTTAAATTGGCAATTTATGTTTCAACAACTACAGGAAATGGACTTTGGTGAAAACTTTATTAAAGCAATCCAAGCGATCTACAAGAAACAATAAGCAAGGATACTTATAAATGGAGACTATACAGAGAGCTTTGATATTAAAAAAGGCACGAGACAGGGATGTCCACTCTCACCCCTGCTATTTATCTTTACTCTGGAGATATTGACTAGAAACATCAGGCAAGACATAGAAATTAAAGGTCTTGAGATTAAAGACCAGAAATATAAATTACAGGCTTTCGCGGACGATCTGGTCTTTATCTTAGAGGAGCCTTTGGAAACAGCCCCTAAACTTTTGCAGAAAATTGAGAAGTTTGGAGAAGTGGCTGGATTGAAAATAAATAGGGAAAAAACTAAAGTGTTAACAAAAAATTTAACTAATAAACAGAAAACTCAACTCGCCAAAAAGACAAATCTTCAAATAGTTAAAAAAGTTAAATATTTAGGTATCTATCTTACGGCGAAATATTCATTACTAAAAGAAGATAACTATGAGAGACTAATAAAACAAATAAAAATCGACCTGGAAAAATGGGAAAATCTCCAACTATCATTGTTAGGAAGAATAGCGACTGTTAAAATGAACATTTTACCAAAGCTAATTTTTTTATTTCAAACAGTTCCCGTAAAGCTGGGTAAGAAATTTTTTGACAATTTAAACGCAATGATATTAAGATTTATATGGCAAAGAAAGCAAGCAAGAATTAAATGTAAACTTCTACAAGACTCGAAAGATAGAGGGGGTTTTGGACTTCCGGATTGGAGACTTTATTATCAAGCAGCTATTTTGCTTTGGCTTAAAGAATGGATTACTCTGAGAAATAAGCGAATTCTCTATTTAGAGGGATATGACCTTCAACTAGGCTGGCATGCCTTTTTATGGTATGAGAAAGCTAAAATACATAAGTACTTTCAAAACCATGCTATAAGAAATGTTTTACTC